TTGAAAGACGGGGTGGGGGAGCACCTCAGTTTGGCTGAAGGATGCCATGCACACAGCTGGAGGCCTATAAGTGAACAGCAGGTATGAGCCTGCACAGAGGAGAAATTTTCTGCAGCAGCAAGTACACAGGTACTTCCTATCCCCATTCTTGCTCTTTAGATGAGAGTCCTTGGATTGACAGTTTCTAAGTCTTGAGAGAAGAGAAAAAAATTGAGTACACTGAATATATTTGGTGCAATAGAAATGATCTAGGGGCCTGGAGAGCCTACCTGCCTTTTGTTCTTAGCTCTGACCACTCAGGGTTACACCAGGGATAGAGCAGAACACCAAAGCAGGCAATGTGTCTAGTCTCAGTGAGATGTTCCCTCCCCAGGTCAGAAATTTGAAATAATTCTCCCTTACAGCACATGCCATTCTCATCTGGGAATTGCTCTTTACATACAGCACCACTATTAGCAGTGTCTGTGGTCTGGGCATGGTGGTGCACACCTGTAATTGGGAAGCGGATGCAGGAGCATCACTGTGAGTTCAGGGACACCCTGAACCACAAAGCAAGATGCTGTCTCAAGAAAAAAAGAAGAAGCCTTGCATGGTGACTCATGCCTGTAATCCCAGCACTTGGAAGGCTGAAGTAGGTGGTTGTTGCCAGTTCAAGACCAGCCTGGGCTACGAAGTGAGCTCAAGACCAGCCTGAAATACATAGCAGGTCCCTATCTCAAAAAGACAAAAGAAAGAAAAAAAAAACCACTAATATGTTTGCTTTACATATCTGAAAGTGAAGAAACAATTTATCTTTGACCTTTATGCGTACACATTGGTCATTCTGATCTCCTAATATATTTACATATCTGTATGTATATGCATTTACCACCAGTTCCACTCATTATTAAAAGTAATTAATTAGGAGGGCATTAGGTTGACAGAGTGCCAAAATCTTAAGTGCTTATATGAGCAAAATGAAACTTAATGCAGATGAATGGTCACAGCCTAGGAAAACAAAAAGCAACTAATTGGAAATCGCCAAATGAAATCTCACCAACCAGAATCTGCCAACTAACCTCTAGCTATGGACTTCGCCCAGTCAAATGTTTTGTCTGCTTCTGAGAATACATTATAGCTCCCCTCTCATCTTCCATTGTTGGAGCCCAAGCACTTACAGTCTGGGGCTGCTGAATCCACAAATCATTATCTGCTAAAATATACTCTTAGAATGCAGATTGGTCATGGTGACAAAGGCCTATAATCCCAGAACCCATCTAGCAAGACCCTGCCTCAAAATTAAAAAAACAAAATTCAAAGGACTGAGTATGTAGTTCAGTGAGTTCAATTCCCTGTACTGCAAAATAAATCAACTAAATACAAATTAATGTATCTGAGTGACTCTTTTAGAATCATTTCTTCCCTCTCACACTAGAATTGATAACTTCTCCACAGCAAAATCTCTAATCCTGCTTTGTAAAACCTGACAGCATTTAACTATTTAGCAATAATTAGGTATTATCTTTTGGTGACAAACATTCTTATTTTGTTTAATCATTCCTTAAATAATCTAACTTCTCACAGAATCTATATTTGTCACCATCTTGATCTTTACCTGCCCAGAATCCAGCTTTAATAAAATTCCCCAAAGAATGATGGGTCTTATTTTGAACGAAACAAGTGTCATGTCATCCATCAGAAATACGGGGGTGGGGGGGGTCCCTCTGCTTCTTGAGTGCTATGACTTAAACTGCTTCTCTGCTAGTTCCTTCCCTGAGAGCCAAAATACATCTCCTCTTTAAGTTGTGGCTGGGTGTGTGGGGTATTAGTCCCAGCAATGAGAAATTAACTAAAACAGATTTTGGTGCCAGAGAGGTAGAGTCATCGCTGTGATGCTACCCGACCTTATAGTTCAGAAGCCTTTGGAACTGGCATGAAGGGGAAATTGGGAATGTTTGAAGATGCTGGCTGGAGAAACAGCCCTAGAGTGCCATTAGGTGAGCTTGATGGGAAATACTAGTCAGAGATCAGAATACCAGAATATTAACAGTAATGTAGCTGGTAAAGGCCACACTCAAGTGATGTCAGTTGGGTAGAGTTCCATTGGCAGTTGGACGCCAGGTCATGTGTATTATTCTCTGGCAGAAAATTTGTCTGCATTTTGCTCATGTCTAGAGGCTTTTCAGGAGACTGAGATTAAGGTGGTAGACTGACTAACATGATGAAATTTCATGGCAGCCCAATATTTAGTTGTTGGCATGGGTACTATTGGAGGATTTTAGCCAGCTTTACCTTGAAAATCAAGAGCAAAAAGCACAATGATTGCTTTTAAAAGTTTTGAGTTTGGCCAAAAGAAAGCACTAATAAGGACAGAGTATAGGAGAGCTTAAATGCTGAAAGGATTAGCATTAAAGAAAAGTCAAGCTGGGGATTTGGCCTAGTGGCATAAGTGCCTGCCTGGCAAGCATTAGGTTGTGAGTTTGATCCCCAGTACAAAAAAAAAAAAAAAAAAAAAAAGGTCAAATACTTTGGAACAAAAGAAAAAATGGCATGTGAGGAACTATTGAGAGGACAGCCTCAGGACACTCTGTGGGAGGAAGGCCTCTTAGGGAATTGATTCCCCTGGGGGTTCCATTTGCCACACTCAGCCTTCCAGGCACTTGCAACCTCTGGCGATGTAAAAGGGCTCAGCAACTCCTCTAGCTGTAGCTGTGGCAGACCTTGGTGTTATCCTCACGGTGCTGGTTTTATGGCATGCAGAATGCAAAAACTACGGGGTCAGGGAGGCTTCTACCCAGATTTCAAAAGGTGCAGAAGGCCAGACATTGTGCCCATGAGAGTGGTTTGTGGAGCTGTGAAGGTGAAGTCAAAAGGATAGTGAAGACTCCAGGAATCTGGAGATTTCAGAAACATGGAATGTGTGAGGAAAGCTGCAGGTAGTAAGCAAAAGCAGTCTGAGAGAAGCCACGAGGGCTTAAAAGCACTGGGAATATAGCTCGGTGGCACAGCGCCTGCCTGGCAAGTACAAGATTGTGAGTTTGAGCCTTGGTACCAAATAAATAAATAAATAAAATTTAAAAAAAAATAATAAAACTGAAAGCATTGGCAATGCCATTGGGATGGGGCTGCCCCAGCCATTTGGAGTTTGCCATGAGTGCTGGATGTGAAGTTGTAAGATTTAATGTTTGCCCCGATGGGGTTCTGTCTTGCTTTGATCCTATTCCTTTCTACTTACCTATTCCCCTCTTTTGGAATGGGAATGTTTATCCCATGTCTTTGTAAGTTAGAAGTATTTAAACTTTCTTTCTGATTGTTACAGGGGCTCACAGGAAAGAGTTTGCCTTACATTTGGGAGGAGACTGGACTTGGACTTTTTAGCAATGCTAAAAAAATCTAGGACTTTGACAACTCTTAGAGATGGGGTAAATGCATTGTGTATAGAGATGTGCATGAATCTTTTGGGATCCAGGGGCAGAATGTTACAGAATGTTATAGTTTATATCCAGATCTCCCCCAACCCCCAGCCTCATGCACTCATAGTGTGGCGCTGGGGTGGTGATTGGATTATGGGAGTGTGATACTCATTAGTTGATTAGGTCATGGAGTTCATAGCGAAATGTTGAGATGTGAAGCCTGGTCTGAGGAGGTGGGTCATACCCGGAAGGGGGTACCCCTATCTCGCTTTATCTCTGGTTCCTGGCTGCTGTGCCTTGAACTGCTTCTCCTCTACGATGCCTCTCTACTATGCTGCTCTGCCATAGGGCCAGCTGACTATGGACTGAAATTTACAAACTGACCCAAAATAAACCTCCAAAACAAAAGGAGAGATTCAACCAGTCATCTGGACTACATCGATAAACTATTAGTTTTTTTTATAGCCACATACAATCAGTTTAGAGCTTGCAATCTACTACTGTACTACAGTATAAAGCAGAGGAGGTTCCTTTTTAAAGGCTGGTTTCAGTCTTCTCCCAACCCCTTTCCACTCAACAGCCTCTGAAGGCAAGTCATGTGGTTAAGTCCCGGCCAGATGTCATTCTGTGTTTTGCTGAGATGGCATCTAGAGATAACATCCAAGCTGGAGGAAATTGCTGAGATCTAACGAGCCAGTATCATACCATCACACTGAGCGGAGACAAGGGGCAGAAGGGAGGTTATTATACTCTGCCTCAAACAAAAGAACTTGAAACCATGATCAGAAACTTATTGTTCCCATGCTGCTGCAGACTGTGATATCCACAGACGTGGCCATAGAAAGGCCTGGAACATAATCCTGCTTTACCTAGAATTATTTATTATTTCATGCAATTACTGTCCTGCTCCTGACCCCTCAACTTCAAGCTCTGAGTCCTGGTGTTTTATTATTTTAGACTCTGGTTAATACATAGGAAGTTTATTTAGCTTTTCACTTGTAGAGCTAGAAAGTCCAAGATTGGGTGTTGGCATCTGGTGAGGGCCTTGGCAGCTTCATGAAGTTGGAGGGAGTAGAACTGTGTAGAAGAGGTAAAACATAAGCCGTGTCCTTACTTTGTGACAACTCATTTTCAAGGTAAATAGTTCAGTCCCATGAGAGTTCAATTAGCCCAGTTCCATGCAAAATGCATTGATCCTTCATGAGGGTTGTGCAACCCAAGCACCTTTTTCCAGGGCCCCCTGGGAGACACATTCACACTGTAATAAGGCATTACAGATTCTTTTAAAGCAGGTATGGCTCATAAACAGCAAATAAAATATTTCAAGAGTGCTCCAGGTACATTTACAAATTTACGTTGGGTTGCCTGTTTTCTGAGTTGAATTTAAAAAGACTTCCTGTTGGCTGTGAACAGAAAACCAAGGTCACAGTTTTAGGGGTAAGTTAACTCTTTTAGTGCACCTTCCAGTTGCATCTATTTTTCTTTCCTTTCATCCACCGTGACTGCCCACCAGAGAATGATTTATTTTGAAACTTCTAAGGTGTTTTTACATGGTACTGAATTTTTTTTCATGGTGACCACTGCCTGTATAGTAACCACATGATCACGTTTCATATTCTGATGGTTTTATTAACAAGTATATAATACATATATTGCATACTGTATATAGAATATGAGGACTGTACAGTACAAATTTATGTTCACAGTTTGACATGACAAAATGTCATTACTCAATTCCCATTGGACTACAGAGTAGAAACAAAGAAGGTACATTAAACATTCACATCTTTAGTAAGAAAGATTACCAAAATGTTTCAGTATTTGCAAGTTTACTAATGCATGCTAAAAACCTTTACCCATTCAGTCTTATTAGCTTATAAAATATATTACACTTTATTAAAAATTTCTGCATAGTTTATACAAGTATTAAAGTACTGTAAATGTAATAATCCTGCTATATTTGCAGGTATGGTTTAAGAGATGCTAAGCAGAAAGATTATTTTGACCCTCTAACACTAAGTACATAACAGAAAAAAAAGTGCTAGTATTTGTAAAACATGTTTGTAGCCCTCGTTTAATGCATGTAAAATGGCTTTGTAAATGTATTAAGTGAATTTGCAATCATTTAGAAATTGTTAACCTTGACCAAGAAAAAAATAATAACTGAGTTCACGTATGACAGCAATTACTTCAAGACAACTGTGTATTTTCAAATCAAATTATTTTAAAACCTTAGATCTCTGAGATTGTCTTTAAAACAATCTAATCAAGAATGATGGGCAGATATACAATATCAGCAATATAGTCTTGAATTCCACATTAGTGCAATACTGATAGTGCAGATGGGTGTTAATAAAACATACATATACACATATAGTTCCTCTGTAATTCTGTTCCAAGGCTCTTGAAACTGCTGTGTATTTAGCATCTCTGTAGTTGAACATAGCTATGCTGCAAATACATTCTCCAAACCAAGCATTTAGAATGTTAATGCCCATTTTATGATGTAGATTCACATTTTAAAACTCTGAAATATGATGAATTCTGATTTAATTTTTATGACTTCACCCAGATGACATATGAGCAATAACTGAATAAACTCTCTAATAAACAATTTATATGACATCAACTTCATTGTTTATAAATCATTCTCAGAAATTTAAAGTAGTGCGATTAAATCACCATTGATAGTAACATGGCACATCATTAAAACCACAAACTTCAGGGCATCTTATCTCCTATCTGAGGTCTTCCACAATAACAGCTAAAATGACTAAGAGACTAAATTTCTCAACTATAGTAGTAAAGTAAATATATATATATATATATATATATATATATATATATATATATTTGGAAAATTTGGTTAGGGCCAATTGGTAACTAAAAAAGACCAGCCAAGAAATAGAGAATGGCCTCACTGGGTTGCTTTTCTCTCAGTTAAAATGGATCTTTGTTAATGAACTGCTAACAGGATCTAAGCAAGCTTAGTAGTAGCGCAAGTCTCTTGAACAAGATTTAAATATACTGTAGCATACATCAAATCTCATGAGAACCCATGAAGCTATTAATCGCACTCCACACTCAAAGCTCAATCCAAGATCAATTCAGTCCTTTTTTGTCCCTTTCCCTTCAATTCTTCAGTGTTTTGGAAGAATCATTCAAAGACACAAACACTTCAGCATGAATGTGATACCTGCTTTCCTAAGAGTCATTTCTATTCCTCAATTCATGTTACAGTTGCACAAAAGAAAACAACAGCCCAAATAGCGCATTTTAATAGTCTTAAAACGTTTTGTAGTGCTAAGAAAAAAAAAAAAAAAAAAAGAAACCCAAGTGCCAAGATAACAAATTTCTTTACATTTCTCACTTACATTTCCTTTCAGCTGGTTCACAGGGCTGAGTGGGACCTCCCAGGTGTGCAGTCCCTATAACTTTTCATATAGCGCCATCAAAGTAAGCTCCCCACACAATTCGCAGGCCTCCAGAGTCACTTGCTTGCAGATGTTTAAAACTATTGAATCATGTATTTCTCCCAGCTAAGGCTGTATTGGATCCTGAGTGGTAGCTGGGCTGGATCTGCAGGATTCCATTCTTCTCTCTCGCCTTCCTCCATCCTTCATAGAGGAATGAAGGGGCATTTGGTTTTGGTTATATGCAACCATGTTTGACCACCGCTGCCCATTTTCTTCAAACTTGAGACCAATAGCATGTCTCTGTGTGAACTATTTTTACTGGCATTTAGACTACTGTGCTCAAAAGCCTGCTTTTGAAAAACTTCCCCCATTAATGGTGTTATTTATCTTCAACGTAAACACGAGTCATTTTTTTCAGCTTGTTTTTCTAACAGGATACTTGATAGTATGGGAAGTACTAACTCCAACAGTAAACTTCTGGGAATATTCAAGCTACTTATGTAAGTCCCTGAACTGTGGTTTTCTATAATTTTCAGAAATCTGCCCCCAAAATAAAGGTACGTGTGCTTTACAACTAGTTGTATTTACAAAGAGTGCTACTCGGGTCTCACTTGAACAAATCTCTGAAAGCTTTAGCAGATGCTCATTTATGTGTGCCACAAACACAAATGACAGCTGATCTGGCACCTTACAGCTCACACAGAAGCTTCATGTAAAAGCTATGTGATAAACTTGATATGGGAATACAAGTACCACTCAACATTTCCCTGCTTGCAAAGTTATGTAACAAGTTGGGTAAAAGGAAGACCATTAATACTTTTACCCTAAAGATTTTTCCTTTTTATTACTGGGCAAATATTTTTGTGGTTTCGTTAACTCTCCATGCTTGATGGTCCATACTAAGGATACTGTGGGAATGGAGATCGCCACATGGATAACTCCACGGGTATTTGGTTTTGCAGCATGTTTGTACACAGCTGAGCACGTGTGGAAACTGAAGTTCTCTGGTAGCCAACCCAAAGTTGACACCAGCAGCTTCCTCCTCTGCAGTCCCTGCTCCCTGCCCCTCCGCTAAGGAAGTTCAGCACTGCATTGTCCCTTGGAACTGCTACCCGTCACCCACCTAATTAAAGGGCTCCAGCTCACCTCCTAATGGTGGCAAAGCCCTCCATGTGGGCTGCAGGCCCAAAGGGCAAAGGCCTTGATTTACATCAGGTGACAATCCAGATTGTGAGGCAAGATGTGTGAAGGTCAATGACAGAGGTGACTATTCTAGCTTGATGTCCTGCTGTAAGTCTTGCTAACTGGTGAGTGGGATCAATCTTCTTTTTGCTGCCACGCATAAAAGGGGATCATGGTGCAGAGAGGGACAGATGTCTCTGGCAAGGACTAGCAGGCTAGAAACTGTATTTCTAATACATTTACTTTGACATTCTTTTGAGGAATACATGGAGAAACTGACAATTGGTTGTTAGTTTACATGTTCCCTTGTTCTCATTACATTAAACGTATCTGTAAGAAGGGTTTGCTTAGCATCCCCGGAAAAAAAAGTGTTCACATTCTTTAGGTCTGACCCGTGATAAGGAGGGAGGATTAGAGAGTATCAACTACTGACCATATGGAAGTTTTGAATGATATAAATTCAGAGATTCAGACCAGCTGAACCAAAATTAAAATGTACATGTAAAAAATGAGTTAGATAATGGGAGGGAGGACAGAGAGAGCCCGGAGAGTGGGGAGTTGCGCTGAGGTGTGAGACCGAGGCTTTCAGACCAGCATGTGGCGTTTCCTATGTAGGGCAAGATGGTCAGAACGGGAGAAGCTGCGGTCACAGTCCGGACACTGGAAAGGTTTGATTCCAGTGTGTTTTCGGAAATGTCTTGTGAGTTCATCAGACCGAGCAAACTTCCATGTGCAGCCTTCCCATGTACATTTGTAGGGTTTTTCTCCTGCAAAAAGAAAAAAACAAAACAAAATGAAATAAAAGCTTAGGCTTTTTTTGAAGACGGTAAAGGTAAAATTTTAAGCTAATGTTCTTTAGCCTTGATCTCTAACTCTGTTCTGTGCTGGGGATTGAATCTAGGACCTTCACACTCAGTGATATCCCCAGCCCTTTAAATTTTGAGACAGGGGATTTCAAAGTCAACAGCTGGAACTTGAATTGGAATTCTGCCTTGACTTCACAGAATATATCACCATGCCCAGCTATCTCCAAGTCTTCATCCTACTCATGAGCTTAATTATATGCATTAAGTCCAAATGAAAAGTTTGAGGAATTTTCTTACAGTTTCTAACAATATGAAGTCTCTATCAACTAAAACACCTGTTAAGGAATTCAGTATCTTACTTTCTGTCTGAGTCAGTAACAATTATTCTTAAGTATAATGTTTCAAATGTAAGTACTGAACACACAGCAGTCTTCTCCTTTCAGAAGCCAGGTTCCCACACTGCTCTAATACCTGTGTGTGTTCTTCTGTGTGCTTTCAGGTGGGAGCTTTTAGTGTATACTTTGTTGCATCCGTCATAGTCACATCTGTGTATCCTCCGCTTCCTCTGTGTATCTGGGGATTCCACAGGTAAAGGTCTCTTCCCAGGCTGCACTATGACTGAAGGGTGATTCCTGTGAAAGCCAAGGTTAACGCAAAGTATTAAGCAAAGTTTCCTTTTCTTCAGTCCACTTAAAGAGTATTAACATTGGGCAAAACCAAACAAAAATCCCAACAAAATAAAATTAGCTGATCAACCCAAGAAGCACTGCTATATTCATTCAACAAACATTTAGCGAGCACCTACCATGAGCCAGGCACTGTGCTTGGCAACCGGGATACAAAGATGAATAAAAACAGGGTTCCTGCCCTCGAGGAGCTCACACTCTAGGGGGAGACAGACATGGAGATAAGTAATGATAGCAAGGAGGGTTAGGTGTTATGCTAGAGGGAGGTGCTGAGTGCCCAGAGAGTCTGTCTGTCACAGTAAAAGCCTATGTGTAGAATTCCATAGTGCAAGGAATGCTCAACACTATACTATACACTTCCAAAGCTTCATTAACTTTCCTGATGGTTCTTTAGGGAAAAAAACGCCAAGAATGTTTCCAAATCCTCTATCTCAGGCAACCACAGTAGAGGATGTATATGTATCTCTTATCCTTTATATAACTAGCATTTAGTTTGTGTCTCTTAAAGACTGCCAATTCGTGTTCATTTTTCAAACGCTGGCTCTTTTGGCACTGCTGTCTTCACGAACCTGAGCCGTATCTGTCACTGCCGCATGAGGAGGTGCACCAGTGCAGCCTCAGGGAGGCGGGGAGGCCCGTCACCCGTGTCCCCGGCTCACTATGTGCTGCAGTCTCCTGCCTACCTCACCTCCTCACGCTCCTGAGTTTGCACAATCGTCAGAAGGTGAATCTGAACAAAATCCTGCCAGATATCATTCCTATAAACTTTTTCTCAAAAAGAAACGTGGCAAAAAGAAAAGGCAGATTGGGAAAAGCATGCAGTATTTTCAGGCTTCTCCACTGGTTAACATACATCATAATAAAGTTCTAATTCATTCGTTTTCTTTTTGGATGACTAACTTTTCGATATGAGTATCTGTAGCCAGCCTCCAACTATGAAGACTTATTTCTTTTTTAAATCTAAAACTACAGTTCATACAATGTTCCAAGTATGTGAATGAGGAGGGGGAGAAAAGATTGGTGTAAAGGAAAAAAAATAATTTGATGAGGCAGATACTCAAGAACTGAATAAATATATAAATTCAGCTATGAAAACCAAAAGGGAGTTCCCGAAACCTTGTTTTTATCTTGGTAAAAGTTTCAGTACACATCCCTCGTCAGTGACTATTTCAGGCATGGTGAGAAGTGACTAGCAAAGTGTAAAAGATGCGCTTACTTTAATTGACTTTGTTCCTATACTTTTATTAGTAAAGAAAACTGTCAGTTGAGTATCACTTTACCTTCCTGCCCTGGTGCCTGGAAGGGAGGAGTTCAGGAGGGTGAACCAGGCAAGCTCACAGACACAGAAAATGTTAAAGACAAGCAGTGAACATGAAGCAGTTTGGCAGAAAAAGGAACAAGAACTTCAATTACATCTCTACAGAGTTTTACAGACTGATACGGTTTTTTAAATGAGGCTTGAACAGTTTTTCAGTGAGCCTTTTGAATTATTTAGAACTCTTCAGTAAAAAGAAAGCTATCATTTTATTTTTTTAACTTAGTAAAGAAAATGCTAGGGAAGAAATTTAATGATTAACTGTATCCCATGGGTTTCTGGGATACTCAGTATCTATCCCAGTTTCCTCTCTGTAAAGCAAATGATGACAATGCTGGCCTTGAAGGTTCTTGTGAGAAATGGTATCTCCTCAAGTGCTATATATGAAGAATCTACAATACACACACACAGCTAAGTAGGGGCACCTGATCCTTAAGCTTTTTGTTCTAAAAGCAGCTTCATACATGTAAATAAATAACAAGTCATTTGATACACCTTTGAGAGCTCTTCAAAATCATCCGAAAACTCTACCTGTAGGACCAAGCAAGTGGATTTCAACGTTGTAACTGCTTTGAAAGGGAAGGGCCTCTTGAGACCAGAATGCTGGGCAGCCTCATTGCAATGGGACTGGGCATTTAGTTTCAAGTGATTTTTTTTCCTGGCTAGCCGGTTTCCTATGCGGGCTGCTACTGGGCCCACTCCAAGACATTACTCAATCACATCTGTGAGAGAATTGCTTAAAGAGTCTATGTCCCAGTTGTGGCTAATCTCAATTTTTTGAGAAGCAAAGTGCATTCTTAGGTCAGCATTCAAATAAGCATATTTCTCATTAGTCATTAAAAGCCACCGAGTATGAGATCACCAGAAGAGTATTACTTAAAATAGAAAAGAGTTTTCTTTTGAGCAGTATTCACATTAAAGGAGACTGCCTTTAAATATTCTTCTGTAATTCACAATAACCTAGACTTTGACCTAATACTTTCTCAGTCACTGGATCGCTCCCTATGCAGGCGCTTAGCTTTAGGTAGTTTAAAAGTGTGATCACAGGAGCGTTACCTAATGTCTTGACTCATCTGCTTCCTCCATGCCTGTTGTAGGGAAATGCAATGACTCCTTTGAAAAACTTGGAAAAGTATTTGGTTTTTTTTCAGAGGAGGGGGTGATACGTAATTGTAAGAGCAACACAGTCCAATTTTAAGAGACACTTTCCTCTTCTAGCTGGGAGTACACAACAACGCCCCTTTCTCAATGCCCCAGTGAAAAGTTCATCGACTGTACAGTATACATCTATAGAATACTTGAAATTGTCAGGAAACTAGCTGTTCTAAAGCAGACTTCACACTGATGCAAAGCTGTGTGAGGGAGAGGGCAGAGAGGATAAAAGTGGGCAAGATACTTATTCAAGTTGGAGAAAAGGTGACGTGGGAGGGAGATGACAAGAGGGACTGATGCTCTATCCTAGGAAGCTGGTGGCTAAGCCCAAAGTTAAAGCACAACAAGATGATTATGACAACAATTACCGCAAGAAATGAAAACAGAAGCGGGCCAGATGAAGTGACTAGCCCAGGGTCATACATCTGGTGGAGCACAGAGCCATAGCCAAAGGCCATCTTCTCAGTTACTGCAAACACAGCCTCCAGCAGCAGCACTGCGGGAAGTCAAGGACCTTTCCAGGGGCCAACCCTACCACCGAGCAACATTACTTAACTCACGAGTGGCTTGATCCCATTAGAGCGTGTGTGCAGATGCTGACTAACAGTACAACCTTCCTAACAGGATGGCAGGTCTACAGAACAGGGATGTGCAATAGCCCAACAGGATTCAGAACCCAAGAATAAAGAAATCTTTCAGTTCTGAGCATCTGAGTCGCACATACAATGTTCTGTCAGCAGGGCTGCTCCACGACTTGTCTTAGAATGCCTTGTGGACCTCTACAGATTTCGAAATTTTCCTATAATCAATACACTACACACAGTTAGTTAGAAGTAACTACTGGAAGTATCAAATGTGTCCACATGACAATTTTTCATGGTCTAAACTTGCATGAAACATCAGAACACCAAGTTCCATCTATGCAAAGATCTGCACATATGCACAGGAAAACCACGTAAACATAGTCTGAAGGATAAAAAAACACCAAAAATTATTTATGTGGTAAGGTGCAAAATCTTGGACGATGACTCTGATGAAAGTTGATGAAAATGTTGCCACGCATTGTTCATGTAACAGAGAGCACGATGTTTTTGAGAGAGATTCTACCAGCTTGACCAGAGGTCCTGAACCACAATGCCCAGAGGCTGCCACATACCACAGAACGTTCTTGGTCATCCACAGCACGTCACATGTTTGCAATCTTGTGTTTCCATTTCAAGCCCCAAGATGCATGCTATTACACAAAGTCTGGTTACACCTTTATATACTTACTCTTGCAATAATGCTTGTGGGGGGGACACTGAGTTCATTAAAGGGGGTGTCATTTCTTCAGGATAATAATCTGTCCTCTGTGGTTCGGTCCCAGGTTCTATTTTAATTTTTTTCTGTAATATGGGCTTCTCATATGATTCAATTACAGGTACTAAAAAAATAAAAATAGCAAAGTCACTCTATGTACAAATTATCAATGTCAGCTTCTAAAAGCTCACTGTACAGCTCCTATCAACAACACTCGTGTGAATATTTATTCACCCATGGAACGTTTACAGTAAGGATGACTGTTAAACAGATTCTCTTTTCTCCCAACTAGTGTTTTGCTAGCAAGAAGCAACCACAAGACCTAGACTTCTAAGAGACAAGCCTCATGACTCTTCCTTATAAATGTTGGCTGTCTCTTTCAACCCCTCAGATATCAGTTGATAAATAAAGTGGCTTTTAAGAGCCAGCAGTTATTACCATGATCAAAAAGTATTTATTAAATGTCCTTTGTATCCTGAATGATTTGGTATTCAACAAAGTTAAAGTGAAATCCAAATTCTTGCTGCTCCTAAGTTGACAACTGCATAGTGTAGCACAGTATTAGTAATCAGCTGAAGGTGTTCAGCAGACAGTCTGATTTGTGGGAATTCTTCTGATAGCGACACTTCAAAACAAAAGCAATGAGGCAGTGTCTTAGGTGACGTCCTCTGGAGAGGCCAGGGCTTTGTGTTACGCTTCCTCACCAAGACTGGGGCAAACCTGATATAGGAAGCAGGTACAAGACGAGCACAGAGCTGTGCTGGCGCTTACCTTGCATGCTACTGCTTGAATTCTCCATCTCCTCTGACAAGGAGACCATGAGTGGCTGTTGGAGGTGGCTGGTATACATAAAGGGGACGGGCTGTACCACAACTGGCTGGATGACAGGCAGGATGCCCGGGCTCCGGATTCCGTGCCTTGAGAGGGCAGCGGCCATCACTGGGGGCATGGACAGCGGCATGCTGAAGGGCTGGACGCCTGGTGAGGAGGGTGAGTACTTTTTAATCGGCGGGCTAGAAGAAGGCATGCTCAGCCCTGGTGACGATCTCCGGTGCGAGGATGGGAACTTCAGAGAGGAGGGAGAATTCCCAGCCGAAGGTGGTGAACCACGCTTGTTCACTGTAAGGTCCACTGGCTCCATCTGTATTCCGTGCGACAGGCCTTCTGGGGTCTGAAAGAACTTATCAGGCAATGGTGTAGAGTAAATGACCCCATATTTGCTGGACTTCATGGACTCCACGTAATTAGACGGGTAGGACTATTAGGAAGGAAAAAAAGAAATGTGTAAATAGCCAAACGGGAAGCATACTGTTTGAAATATGAAGCATGCACACACAACACACATACCCCTCAAAGTAATTTTGATCACAATGGCTTTAAAAAGGTGTTGAGATATATGCTTCATCTGCCTCAACAAAGGCTGTGAGAGACGTGGTCAAGCAAGCACTAGAATTAAGGTCAATGCAATTACCAGTTCACGTGGAAAATTTAAAATTTAATTCTAAGATTTCCACACCCAATGCGAAGGCTGACTGATATCGGGCAAGGTTCTAATGCAGGTCCGATCACAAGCTTTGTGGCCTCTCTTGCTGGGAGTCAGCTTCAGAGATCACCAAGAATCACCCAAGTCACACTATCTTTATTACTTTTCTGATAGAAGGAAAAGCTTTCTAGTTTTGGCATCTCTACCCGTGTAGCATATGTAACATTTCACATTTTTCATGACAAGCTTTTGTATGATGAGGAGAAATGGAGCTACATGGTAATTCTTTTTGATAGGCTCCGCTGGAGAGCAACCCATGCCTACGGTGGCCCGAGATCCTAGTCTACCTGTGGGTGCCTTTATTCTAGCACTTGAAGTCCCAGAAATCTCTTTATCTCTGGAAAACCAGGATAGCCACCCAACCTCTTCACCTATGTACTCAAGGCCACCCTCCCTAGGGCAATTATTTATCCTCAACTTTCATGATCTGGAGGCAACACCAGCTCATGACACAACCAGGAAAATGCACCAGTGGGCCTTTATACTTAGACTGCTTCAAAGCACTATTAAGTCATTTCTTGGTTTCTCTGGCCCTTCCAATGTGCACTCTAATAGTTATGAGGCAGCAGTGATTTCGTTTGAGATTACTACTTGGACCATGCTCCTTCCTTCTCTGGCCTAGACTGAATGAAGGAAATGCACTTGGTTATGCACTGTTACCCAATGCTTGCTTTCGTCCCTCCTCTAAGCCAAATGAGCATCAGATTACTCATGGGTAGGGGACCAGGAAGTAAATTTGTTATCGCCTAACTCTGTCTTTACCTGATGCTGATGTCAGTTTCTCATCTTTACATGTTTTGTTTCCTTTTGCCCTTTTTTTCTGTCTAGATCATAATGATCTGTGTAATCTCCCAGCACAAGTAATGCCCATGAAGCACGGTGCACACTTCACCGGGGCACCCACGATGCTTACAGATGGGACAGGAGAGAGGGACATGCATTGCTTTAAAAGAGCTACATGTTTACTTCAATGTGCATGCAAGGAAAATTATACTTTTCACAGTCATGACATGAAGTTTCCTCTTAAAATAAATGTATTCCTAAAAAACTATAAAAGAAGGCATGAAAAATGATTAAACATTGAAAGTGTACATGCTCCAAGACAAACTTGTCAAGAAGGTACTCAACATCCCCCCCAGGAGGTCATGAAGTTAAAACTGGATCTGATGTGATGCTCTCTATAAGGAGCTCACAACAGAAGGCTGTTGTGGAGTCCCCCTTCCTGTCCCTCCTACAAGACCTGCATGCTGTAACGGGCTGCCAGACGCCAAACTAGGCTTCTCTAACTTCAATGTGCACTCAAATTCACCTGGGCATCTTCTGAAAATGCACTATTTAGAATCATTAGAGAGTAGCCCAGGGTACCACAGACTACTTTTTGAATATCAAAACTAAATGACAGACATGTAGAATGAAAATAATAAAGGTCAGTTGAAAGGAGAAAAAAGAATTCTAAATATTAATAATACTACTTAGAAACAAGGCCCTGAAGGATTTAAAAAAAAAAAAAAATCAAGAAATACAAGTTATATAAATTTTTAATACCAACTTTGAGCTTTGTGCTGTTGAGGATTAAAGGAGGCACAGATGATTTCTACCTTACTTCTGAACCAGGCACAAAGAAGTATTACACAAAGTGAGAGGTCCAAAATATATGATAACACTAACATTAAATATTCAATATATTTAAATTTAAATATTAAAATGGGCATTATTAAAAGTATAAGGCTCATTAAAAATATTATAAATTATGCACCATGAGGGTTGCAAGAAGTAATTAAGGGTAAGAATGAGAAAGTTTTCTCCTAGTTGTAAAACTTAACGTGTTTCACATAATTCTCCAAAGGGCCAAAGTTCTGTAGTAACGAGTGACTTGAAGAAATTGAAGACAGCATTGATTCTACTCATCAACATGTGACTTCTTTCTTATTTTCCGCCCTATTCTTCCTAGGTCTCCCTTATGACCTAGATTTTAAGGCCAGCAGCTATTGGCAGCTGAAGAGGAAGGGAAATGAGGACATACTTTTATTGCTGTCATTGCTAGATTTTTTTTTCTATCCATGGTGAGTTTAGGACAAGCAGGAAAATAGAACATGGAAACTTGCAAATTTAAATGATACTCTCAAGCTTCTCAAGCCATGGAGAAAGAAAAGGTTAAAAGTACGTTTTAAAAACATTATACACAGTTTCACTGGAGTTTGCTCTCCAATGGACAGCCCCACCCTTACGCTGAATGTGTTGATTCTCAAGTACCAGGCTAAGCACAGGGAGACACAGCTGGACAGACACCCAGCCCTGAGCATGTAATTAACTATTTCCAGTCCAACTGCCTCACAAAAAGGTGAAGAAAGAGGGTCCTTCAAACTGGCTCCGTGACAAATTTCCGTGCAGTGTTTACTTTACCTTCTCTAAGGCAGGTTTACTTTAATTATTTGGGTGGAGCACACAAACTACTACTCAACCAGCTGGTGACAATCTGGTGTAAGGACTGATACCAGGCTCCATCTGGGTGTGCCTCAGGCGGGCACACCCTGGTAACAGTCCCTTCCCCTCTGTTCCAGTTCATTCCTATCTTCTAGCTAAGCATTGCAAACAGGCGTGGCTGCCCTGGCCCCAAATCCAAATCCATGGCAAGTGTTGATGAAGCAGAACATTTGTCTGTGGTCACAGATGGACACTCAGTGTCCCATGTTCTGGAACAGAACAGTCTCAAGACGCAAGCATGGGCCACTCGTCCTGGCCACCAGCCCCACTGAGGAGAGGCAATGTACATCCACTTCCCCAAACCATCTGCCCTAGGCAAGTACCTTCCTTCAGTGGTACTTAGCACTGGCGGGCCAGCACCTCTGCTGAGTGTGTACCCCCCACTGGCCTGTGGCAGAGGAGGCTCACTTGATGAAGCCTGGAGATACTAACCCAGCACCTTCACTCTCGACAAACTGAAGGACAATACTAATTTTTTTTTAATTTTGAGAAACTAATGGGGAGAAAGAGCACGGGCTTGGGTATTTTAATTTCTCAAACGTGTTAGCTATCACTTCATACTAAAGTAAGCAGCTCTGGAGCTCTTATTTCACCGGGAAAGGTTCTGCTGACTTTCCCATTACAAGGTAACTTTAGAGAGTGGACCAGTGCACAGACAAAGGAATTCCCAGGTTGCAGGTGGGGCTCAAACCAGGAAGGCGGGGCGCACTCTCTGCCCTGTGCTGCACCTCTGGGTAACCAAAAGCAGACGTCTCTCTTTCAAAACTACCAGAAGTTTCTGTTAGGATAGAAAAAGGCAAACCAAACCATTCACTATCTCTGAATGGATAAGGAGTTCACTGGCCGAGACTATTCACTAACAAAAAGAAAAAATAAAAATGGGCAGGTTTCCTTCATTCCTGTAGGGACAAAGAATCTGGGTAGCTTTTATACAATTTATTTTCTTTTTGATGTCCCAAAGCAAATCCTGTTTCCATCTTTTGAGGAATGGTAAATACGATTTCTTTACATGTGCACTTTATATACATGCTATTTCATAACTTGCAAATTAAAAATAAATAAGGCTCAGGAAACCGCTGGTGATTCTGCCAACACCAGGTGGGGCATAAGCAGCAGAGGCCCATGGCACAGACCCAGGCCCTCATTGTGGAAAAGCCTCACTGCGCAGAGAATGCTGGGAAAGCTCATGCTCTGCAAGCCCAAAATGACACTTCCCCCACTTCTGCCACGGTAAAATACCAAAGAGCAGACCGCTTCTGCTGGCTTCTCCTTTTAATGGGGGTGGTAGTGGTACTATATACTATTTTTATTCATGTGAGATTTAAAAAAAAAAAAAAACATGTCATATGCTGCCTTTAAGTTTACAACACGTACTTAAACAGTCAAAGACTCTGACCCTGGGGTCAGGCTGAATTGAAAAAAAGAGCTATAAATTAGATTCAATACAGTCCACACTTGAGCAAGCAGGGAAGACAAAATTCGAAGATTAAAAACCAAAGCTATTTTTCTTTTTCCTTATTTAATTTTTTAAAGTAGTTACAATTTCATATTTCTCAAATGTTTCAACTAATGGAGGTTTTGCTGAATTCAGAATAAACCCCTTCATTGTAAGGACTGATATTAACCTTTGGTGAAAACTGTCTGTAATTAAATTCTTTAAGGGCCAGTTGAAGGGGAAAACTAACACATGAAGGAGAAAAACACTATTAATTGCAAAAATACTTATACATATTTTAACTTCTTATATTAATAAGTTACAACATTACAAGTTTGTTTCTTGCAATTTATTTTATTTCCTATTTTTTTAGTTAAGTGCGTTTCCTTGTACTTAATTATTTCATACCAATTTAGCAACGTGGATCTTCATTTTAGCTTGAAATGAGGCTCTTGAGCCATATTTTCACGCTTGATTAAAAGCCCTGGAAGTACCCCGAAGAGTAAAATGCATCACTGATGGTTCTGCATCATTTATAAAATTAATCATATCCCCCAGTACTAAAAACCTATTCACATTTCAAGAATATAATTAATGGGGAAGTCTTTTACTTTAATTTTCCTCTAAGATGATCATCGCAATAGTTGGGGGGAAGGAGGTTGATAAATAACAGCTCTAAATAACATTAAAAATACATTTAGTTTTTTGATTAATAAAATTCGTACTGCTCCGTTGTTATATTCAGACATGCGCTTATCTAGCTGTCATGCTGCGAATGTTATTTCCTTAAAGATGCTCTGATTTAACTTTTCATTACAGACACTGGTAAATACTTCACTGACTTCGTAATAGCCATGGCAACTCTGTTCCAAGGGCCTCACAGTGACCCCCATGTCTTGTATAAACATTTTTGGCAGGAATCTCACAGCCAATGCATAAGGATGACCTAATTGTGCAAGCGTGTCATTACCAACCTTCAGATACAGAATGCAGGCCAAGTTTTTCCACTTGTGCATATTTTCCAAGCTCATGGAAGAAAAAAGCAAGGCAGAGTGGTAGCCTGGCCTTGTTATTCAGCATTCACTAAGCCAGATCCCCTTGATCTAAACCACACCTGCTTTAAATTCAGACACCTGTCACCCATGCATCATCTCCATGACACATGTCTTGTACCGATGTAAACACCTGGATGAATTACCAGTCCCCTAATAGCTTGACAACACCTAGGTGCCAGACTCCCAGGAGGGGCTGGCTTGGCATCAAATGTTAGAGGACAATGCACATCAATTCCCACCGGCCACACTCTTCCAAGAGACACTTGATTCCGTTCCACATCCATGTTCTCCCTCTTGTTTCTCCTCAGTCACCTTCCACATGGCCTCAGGACCATATGGCTGTTGCCCGTGGGTTTTAAGCAAGTTACTTTATTCTTAAATATCTTTACATACCCAAGTTGAGTTTCTAGACACCTACTTCTGTCGGGACCAGGTTCTCTGGGGCTAAGTTCCGTGTTGATCCTATCTTGAGGTGTGTGGGGTACAGGTCCCTGTTATTAAAGGATGCACAGCTGCTAGGAGGGAATGCTCCTTAGCGATCACTGGGGCCTCCCTGAGAAACTGCACGTCCAACGCCTGTCAAGTAATGAGCAACTTTAGGGAACACACAAGATGCAAGTCTAGTGTCACGTGGAAAAACAGGGAGTTGTGTTCAATTTTGGAAAACTTACCACCGAGACAGGGTCCATGGCCTCTTGCTTGACAGGGACCGGGTCAAACATGAGCATTCTTTTAGTTAAAGCTTCTAGGGTGTTCTGGTGTTCGACCTAGAAAACAAAAGGTACCCATCTAAATCCTGAGGTCATTTTAGATATAAGGTAGTAAAAATACGTATTTATTTTTGGTTTTCTGAGACAAGATCACACTGTGTAGTCCAGGTTGGCCTTGAGCTCATGATCCTCCTGCCTCAGTCTCCCAAGTGCTGGGATTACAGGTGCCCCCCAGCTTCAAACTAATAAAAACGAAACACATCTTGCCCCCCTCCCTTCTCTGCCCTTTCATCTCTCCCACCCCCAGAATGGCAGAACTGTTCCCCACCTAGGAAAGATGCCGTTTTATAAAATTAAAATCAGACTTGACGGTCATAATCATGAGAGCCAATGGTGTTTCCAACTCAAATACAAAAACCCTGACCTTTTTTGGGGGGGGGGTGGGGGGAACCATGTACACAGCCCCTCTGCGCAGCAAGGCTTGCTGAGGGCTGCTGTACCATTCAACACTAGTTTAGATTACACAATTGTTAAATGCCTTCCCTTTTCCCCTTATATTCATCATAGAAAAATCAAGGGGGGAAAAAACCAAGCAAAACCAAAACTTAAAGAGCTAACTGTCTTTAACGACTACTTTCTTTCTATCCTACCAAAACACTTTTAGGTGAGACCATGTTGTCAGATTCAGCGTTCCACTGTGTGAACAGATCACTTTAATGTATCCCGTTTTTACTTTTGCTACTAAATTTTCACTACCACAAACTGCAGTGAATCTCTGTATATCTGCATTTTCCTGCCCATCTTTCATTTGATTCTAAGATAAATTTTCTGAAGGACACAGACACATACATAGTCTAAAACACTACACTGGTTGCAAAATGACAAATTTTTAAATTCTAAATTGATTTAATTATTGAAGTTGAATCCCCCCCCCTTTTTTTTGCCATTTATATCTCTTTGGAAACATTCAAGGTAGATCTTGACACCCTCCTCCCAGGACCTTTTTCTGCTTTTTAAAAGCTGTGGAAGTGCTAGGTTTTGAGTTACTTTCTGTATTTCAGGAAACTCCTCACATCTCCACAATAGCAATCCTGTAGCTCGCTGGGTTTGTCCTTGCTCTGTGGGTGGCTCTCGTGCTTCACTGCTCTGCAGAGTCTCACGACAACATGCGAATTTCATCCATAACTCAACATGAGGCCCTGACTTCAAAATTACATTTTCCTACATCCCAGGATGCACTGTAATCTGCAAACACCAGGTGATACCAGGCTGCTCAAATCCATGGTGCTACTACCCTCTTTATCTAACAAACCAAGAGCCAGTGAAAAATAGATGATTTCATAATGAAGGATGAAAACGTTTTTTGTTTTGCAATCTATTATTAACCAGGACTAGCATAGCAGTTCTATGGATGGTCATGATTCCAAGAACTGTTGCCCATGCCCATGTTGGCTGTAAACAAGAGAGGTGGGATCTCCACTTTCATCACTGAGGTCAGATATGCAACAACCCCACCCTTGGACGGCTGACTAACACCTCCATAAATTGAATTAGGTCTTACAGATGCAGCTATTCCAATAGATGGTATCTGGATGCAAATCTTTCCAAATAAGAGCATTCTTATTTCTCAGGTGTGAAACAACCCTCCGCTACTATATCTCATTCTAAAAACCAGCCCCTTTGGCTGGGTGTGGTGGCACAACCCTGTAGTTAGTTCCAGGACTCGGGAGGCTGAGGCAGGAGGACAGCCACAAGTTGAGACCAGCCTGGACTACTGAGGCAGCCTAAACTACACAGGGAGACCCTATCTCAAAACCAAACCAAACCACCAATCCCTTCACCCTTAAATAAAACCTGGATTACAGTCAGTTTAAAAGTCAACAGCAGCCCACACCCTGTCTAAAGCTCAGGTTGAGACCTGTCACCTTGCAGCTGTATTAGAAAGAGCTTCTGAGCCTCCCTAGCCTTTGCACACAGGTTACCTTGGACTCCTGGCTACCAGGCAATTGCAGAAAAGAACAAATTAAGATGATGGAATCTGCAGCTCCTTTGGGTTCAAATTCTAAACTCTACCTTTCAGCTCAAGTAGGCTTTAATGACTTTGTCAAATGCCTATAGTGATGATTATTGAACCCATTTAGAAATGAATTACACATTAACCTGTTACGTCTTTTATCAGTGTAAGTCATCATTTAATCATTATTGTCCTTTGATTCCCCCCCCCTTTAAATTTTAAGAAAATGTGTGCTTTGCAAGGCTTGTAAGAATGAGAAATAGTCTAATGTAAGCCACTGTTCCTAACAATGCCTATTTTGTTTTTATTATGAAATACAAAGGAATGTTTATTTGTTAAGAACTGTACTTTAAAGTAATGCAAATGTTGAAGGAGTATTTCTCATGACAGACCTATTTCAGCTAATAAATGGAGGGATGAAGCAATCAGAACACCTCATTTTGAACCTCCTAGATAAATGATGCACCCTTGAATAAAAAATATGCAAAATTCAAGTATCACAAGGAACAGCACCAAATTCACTGTCTATCCACACATCTAACAGCATTTTGTTAATCTGGTATCTTTAATGGCTGGAATGATTATACTTTGCTGACAATCACAGGATATGAAACACAAGAAGATGAATGTTTGGAATGATCTACCTTCAACTGTTAACAAAAGCTCCAGCTCTATGCATCTGTGTGGTAATTTTAAGATTAATTTTATAATTAAAAGCTTTAAAAAGAGAGAAACTAAGGAAGGAACCAACGAAGAGAATGAAATACATTAATACACAACAGGCTACTGCTTATTTGCAAAAAATTTCTATCAATCACTTTTGCCACTGGTTTAGACTTTGTGGATTCTGACCAAGAACCAGAAGTTATTGCAATATGTTCAGAGAGCCTCCCGTTTAAATAAGAAGTAACAAGTGCTAGAAGAATTAGGGTCTCTAAACTTGCAGGTCTTTGCTATCACTGGGCTGCTTAGTACTCTAGAATATTAGCATTTTTAATTAAAAGAACTACACTGGCAGCAATCTTAAGTATAACCGGTAGGTGGCGCACTAAAACACGTTTTAGCGCCCAGGGCCACCCTCACCAGAATCTTTAAACCTGTGTCTTTTAACCAGGTTGAGAAATCTACTCATCACTTTATGTGGATATCGGAGAGGAGGCCTCATATGTGGTTGTTTCCTCTATTTTCCAATTATAAACACATTCTCATTTTACATGTAACTATCTTAGCAGAAATGAATGAGCAATCCCTGGATAACTGGACTGCATTTTAAAACGCAAAAGGCAAAACTTAAAAAAAAAAATTCTAGGTTAGTGAGGTGTTTAAAAACAAAAATACAGGAATTTTACCAATCCAAAACAAATTTTCATAGTTGGAGCAACTATGAGTTGCTAGTTATTTTACTAGGAAGAACCCACAAAACTTGAGTTAAAAAAAAAAAAAAAAAGGCAGAAAAAAATGGCTGATGCAGTCTGCAGGATCAGGGCTATCACTCCGAGGCAGCAGACTGCAAGTTCCAATCCAGGGTCAAAAGCCCAGGACCTGTCCCTAGCGCCGCAAAGACAAAGCAGCAAAAAATAAAGAAATGCAATTTCCCTTCATGGACTTTTCACTTATACTTTTCAGATATCAAAGTAAGGGTTAGATCTGTAAAAATGCAAAACCGTGCAATTACGTATTAAAAGCTTGGTGAATCATTGACGCGACATTTAGAAGTAATACGGCTCTGCTTCAAAGTCCTGCACTTGGGCCTCTGTGAGGCCCAAAGGGCTCCGTGAGAAATCCAGTCCCTAATGCATGAGGGGTTCTGATGTCTCCAACCCTCCTTGGAAAGCAGCTTGTCTAGAAAGCGGTATATTACAGAAACAACCTTCCCCAGGGCTGCCCCTTCCTCAGAAGCGGAAGAGACAGACAGGGAATCAGTGTGTGAAGGAAAAAGCAGTTTTCTGTTTCTTGGGGAACAAAAGCAAGGCTTGCCTAGCGCTCTCCCAGATTATTTCCCTCTCTTGCCTCACCTCCTCACAGGTTTCCTGCATTATTCTCCCCAAGCCAACCTGACCCCCACGGCTCCTGATTACCTGCTTCCCTCAAAGCAAACTTTTGTTTCCTAGCTGACTTCCTCCAGGAACACAGAGAACACTGCTGTGAACCAAGGCCATCTGTGAGCGCTCTTTCTCTCCCTCCCAAGGGTTTGGATTTTTAAAGGAGGAAGTGCGCTTCCCCCCACTCCCCCAAGAACTTCAGGGGGAGACCTGGGCGTGCACGCCCGCGCTGTGCCGCCCTGCAGTGCCTGTTTCTTGGGCAGAGGCGGGCCAGGCAGGCTAGCAGGGTCCCTGCAGCTAAAATTCCCTTCCTGACAAACTCTCTTCTCTCCTTTACCCGAACTCTTCAAAAGCTCCAAGATGGGTCGAGTCATAGGGAACAGCTGTCTTGCCCAAACACACAGGGCAAAGGCAACAGTTGAGAGTAGGCATTTTTAAACTAGAGGCCTCATTAAGAAAGAAGCTAAATGCTGGCACCTACCTGGAAATGCGTCCTGTTTTCATCCCACCCAAGGGCTTCACCTACCTTGGTCTTCTATGGCTGCTTTGAAAGGAAATTAACTCCACGAGGTATTTCCAAATCTTTGCCCCTCATAAATTAGCTATTTTTGCATTAAACGTGTTTTGCAAATGGGAGAAGTTAATTATTTCGTTTCAGATGAAATATAATGATCCAGTGAGCAAACAATCCGCCCTCTCTCCTCTCTCTGCGAACAAGCCACCCAATTTTACTTTCCTGCCTCCACCCATCGGCTCCACCCCATGGAGAGTTGCCAAGGCGAGTCCAACTTGTCCAAACAGGACATGGCTTCAGATAAGACTCTGCCCACACCCTGTACTTCGAAAAGACCCAGTGAAGCAATTGATTTTGCACGTGAATAAGGACAGGTGCAAAGGTAATAAGCAGGCAAAATCCTAGGTGTTTCTAGACTGGTTGCCCAGCAGAGCAGACCTGGGGGTTTGGAAACCCAAACCCTACCACCCTTTAGGTCAGTTCTCAGGTTCAAGGGCACCTGGCTGGTAGCCTTCCACACCCTTCTTAAAGAAATTTCTGCAAACTCGAGTTATTTTTCCTTCTAGGGTTACACAGTTGTTTGCCTCCTTTATGCTCTCTGATGATTTTGTGTTTGCGTCTTAAGGGCCAGCAAGCTAAGAGAAACTGAAAAATACCCCCACACTGTCTAATCCTGCTGTGTACTGGGCTCCCAGGGCCTCGCCTAAGCCCTCGCAGCGCTCCTCTGCGCGTTATATAATCAGATCCAGAAGGGCTGCGTGAGGCCACACGGCCTCGCATCCGCCCGCCCCGTGCCCTCCCTCTCCCTCCCTGCAGACCCACCCCACCCCACCGCACCCCGCAGCCTCCACCCACGGCCCCACCCTGCAGGGAGTGGGAGGTTGGGAGGGACTGGCTCTGGGGCAGCAGCCAGTTCCTGGAAATTCCGGCCTCAACAAGGATAGCAGGAACCTTAAAAATAACCAGAAAGAATCGGCAGAGGGGTGGTAGTTCTTGAGGATCCACCGTTCAAGTTTTTACAGCGCGCCACGCACTGATCCTTTGGGCACAAAGAGCCACTACGCTGTCCTTTCCCTTCAAAAGTAAACAGCACAGAAAAAGCAATGCCTTTGGAAGCCGGGTTCTTCCACACTGCCCAAACCCAAGCCCTCCACCCCTGCGAGGCTGCCCTCCCGGCCTCGGTTGCCTCATTTTCTGGTCACTCACCATGGAAACCTAAGGTCATCCGTGACGCCTTCCTCAAACCCCTTCCTTTCCACTTCTCTCCTCGGCCCTGCCCAGGGGCCTCACCACTCTGTCCCCAGGAGTCTTTCTGCATCGGGCTACCCCACCTCCACCTCCGTCCTTTGCCCCCGCGGCTCCACCCCGTGGCCACCTAGTTTTCAGCCCTTTTTCAACTCTGGAGGTCACACACCCTCCTCGGGAGGCTCCCAGAGTTTACAGGGGTTTGTGCCCACATCTGTACCCGCTTCCTGACCAGCCTCCCAGCTCCAACAAGTGCCTCGAAAGGCTGGCTGCCCAGCCTTCTCCCTCCCTACCCCACCCCTTTGTTCATTTCTGGCCCAGACGCTGGGCAACCAGGGTGGAATGCCCCCCTCCCCTTCCGGCTTATCTCAATCCTCCTAATTCTTCAAAGACCAGCTCAAGGCCCTCCCCACCCCGTGGCCAGCTGCCTGCTGCCTGCAAGCACTGGCCTTGTTTCCCCATGGGTACATCCTGGACTCCAGGACCGGGAGCACCTGGAGGCCAGGCAGGTGCCCCATCCCTTAGAGGAGTTCCTCCTTCTCCCAAGATGGGCTTGTTCCCAGATGGCACTCAGTCCTGGGGAAGAGTGCCAGCCATCTCTCTTTGGATGTACTACAAGGCTGCCTCCAGTAAGTAGTGGGGATAAAGAAGGGCCTAGCTCTGTAGGAACCTACTGAGCCAAACTTCCTTAAAACAAATTACCACCTAGGTATAGTGGTCCATGCCCACAATTCCAGAGCCCTAGGAGGCTGAGGCAGGAGGACTACTTAGACCCTGCCTCAGAAAACGGTAAAAAGTGCAAAGGCCCTGGTTCAATCTCCTGTACCAAAACCCCAAAACAAAAAGCTCCAAAAATAAAATACCTACCACTGCCACCAAAACCAACCTCGCTGTACCTTTGCCTGTCACAGTTCACTAATCAGCATCATCCTCAAAAACCATTTACTCTGCACTTACAAGACTAGTGTCAGGGTCTCTACAGTCTCTTAAAATCTAAAATAGAACAAAAAGGGAAAAGGAGGAAGCAGCAACTGCAAGGGAAGGATATGTGTGTGGGGGGGGGCACTAGGTTTTTACAAAAGGATGCTCTTGTTGACCAAAGAAAGCAAGGGCTAAGTGATGTCACACTTCCTTTAGAACTGGTGCCTAGTTTCGGCACGGCCTTCCTAGCAGATTGATGAAAACACTGAAACAGAGAGGTAAAGTAACCTGCAGAGATCACACAGCCACTGAACTGGAGAGTCAGGATGTCAGATGTAGGTCATCATCTGACTTCAAGACTGGTGGTCTCCGCATACCACCTCCCAGCGGCCAACATAACAGTATGTGGGATATGACTTCTGCTACTAAACTGGTCTCTGGGGAATATGAAACTCGGGGACAGCATTACAGTAGCCAATAGCAAGGACTTCAACTCCTCCCAACTGGCCCCTGCTGCCTACCCCTCCTCCCTGTGGACATGCTTGGATGCAAGATCAAAGGACAACAGGTTCGGAAGGTCCCGAATTAGGCTTTTATTCTTCCTCGCCAGTGCACCTGCAATTGGTCCATAAAAGTGCTGAGAAAAATTGGCAGCATTAGTCAAGTAAATACGGAAATCCTCATAATAACTGTACGAAGGTAGAAGGGTCAGGTCCTCATCCCCATTTTAGAAATGAGGAAATGGAAGAACAGAGGTGAAATGACTCGCCCAAATTCGCAGAGCTGGCTGGAGCTGCAGCCTGGAACAGAAGTGTGCCTGCTACAGATCAGGCTCTTTCTGTTCTGCTTTGGAGCCGCTGTGCGGGGACCCGCTTTGGGGTGAAACCATCTCATCTAGGTCACTGCCCAGCGCAAGGATGTGGGTGTGCACTGGGTCTATGTTAAACAGTGCTATGGGGAGGTTCCGATGGGCAATTAAGATTTCAAAATGCCTTTTCAGGTTTGATCACTGCAGACCTCCTGCATCCTGTGGCATAACTCCAAATAATGATCACACATAATTTGAGATTAGCTTTAATGAGTAGGTGCTCAATAAATACTTGCAGGATGATTAAGTGGCTGGATGTCAGACCATCCTTCTCATATGCAAGGCAAGAAAAAATAAAGCCCTGGAACGATGGTACACCAGGCATATCTGGTTGGAAGTTTGTCCAGTGGCCAGTGAAGCCAGCCTAAAAAAAAAAACTGTCTTCTAAAATGCAAAGTAAATGTGAAAACTCTGGGAGGCCTGGGCCAGAACGACTCCCTTGTTTGCAGAACTAAGCAGAACAGGAACTTGATCTTACTAACGAAAGCAGCTTGAAAGCAGTTTTCGGTGCAAAGCTTTGGAAGGTACTAGCGTGTAAAGTGAAAGAACAGATAAAAGAGTGGATTGCAGTGATTACACTCAAAAAACAGCAGCAGTAGAAAGAATGATACAGAGGCCTAATGAGTAAGGCCCACAAATGCCATCAGGCAGGTGGCTCCGCAGGGTAGAGTTGCGCACCTGACACCAACACCATCTAGTAGCTCCTATCTCTTGCATTCTGGCCCAGCTCCGCTGATCACTGCTGGCACCAGCTCCGGACCAGCTCTGGTGAGATCCCTGAACCTTCCAGAGACAGGTGACCCCCCTGAGCATGTTCTAGGCAAAGCTGGGCTCTTCAGGAAGCTCAGAGAATGGGGGCTGCCTCAGGGGATGGACACCCTGTTCCTAGAAACCAGGTGAAGAGCTCGTTGAGAGTCCCAGAGGATGCATGGGCATGGAACTTGCCGGCCAGCCCCCCTTAATAATTAGCTAGGGAGACAAATGTATTCAGCCTGCTAACAAGGCAATGAGTTCAGAAGCACTCCAGGAACCTGTTAAAGAACTTTATTATAAACACTGACCAAGGGACACAAAACCTACAGATAATTTCTTTAATGTGCCAGTAAAGATGGTTACATTCCAGAATGCAGGGCCAGTTAAAAGGCTCATTGACATACATTTTTTTCCTAGTTAATTCCTAGTTTTCAAAGGATGAGATTGTATGTATTTATTTTCCTTAAATACAACTAGTGTGAAAACAGCCCGCAAGAAATACTATCTTCACGAAAGGTACCATTTTACAGCAAATATATGGATTTGGAAAGTATCTAAAGGAGGGATGGAAACATGATAAAAGTTGAATAGTAATTATACTAACTACCAGATAATGTAATTTTCCTCAGCCATTTAAAAGCTTGTTAAGTTTTTTTTCTGACAAGAGGTCTTATTATGTTGCCAAGCCTGGTAATAAACTTGGGGTTCCAGTGTTTCTCCTGCCTCAGCCTCCAGGAGTACTGGCACTAGAGGTTCGTATCACCTTGCCCAGCTTTGCAAAATTTTCTCAGAACATATAAACCTCTAACCATTCATATTACCACCTTCCCCGCCCCACCAAAGAGGAAACAATGATTTGCGAAAGCCATAAAGACTGTCTACCAAATATAGCTGGATAGAATCAAAACCAAAAAAAAAAAACCTTCTTCAGTTTTCATTACTTACGAATTTCAGTCTAAAACTCTCTTATTCTACATGTCAGCTTAATATTTCAAAGTTGCTTTTCCCAAAAGAGAAAGGAAAAATCTTACTGGGATTTTCTAAAACTCCCGTCACTTTTCAAGAAAGATTACCACCAGCCAACTATTTGATCCTAGTAACTTTCCAAATGTCATATTTTATACTTTCTCTTTATACATAAAGAAATATAGTGGGATGTGGTATGTAAAACCAAAATCCTATTTTCATCAATATTTGAGAATAGAAGACCTGACCTGATTTGCTGCTTCAGCAACTCTGAACTAATTCTAGCAGTGAACACTGCAGGCCATTCCTTTAGGTTTTAAAGAAAAACCAGAGTAAGTTTACTTGCCAGTTTTCATTTCCAGCCATTTCTTTAAAGCTCAGTTTCTGAAGAACCAAAAGAAAAATAACTTGATAGAGTAGATTTTAAATAACTAAAGCAGATATTTTTTAACCTACTATTGATACTTGAAACCTGAAATCATGAAAAAAATTGTTATTAGACAGGAAGCCAGGTATAGTGGTGCACTCTGGGAGGCTGAGGCAGGTGAACTTTACTCAAACCCAGCCTGGGAAACTTGGCAAGACTTAGTCTCAGTAATTAAAAAAATACAAAAAAGCTGGGGCTTGGTGTGAAGTTCCTGGGTTCAAGTCTCAGTATCATGAGGGAGAGGACTTACACCCTTAAACACACACACACACACACACACACACACACACACACACACACACACACACACGCTACCAGCATTGTTTTCAAAATTAAAACTTTCCAAACTATCATTCAGTGGACTTTTTGCTAGTTCTTTTCTTTCTTTCTTTTTTTAATTCAACAGATCTAAAATACAGTAAAATTTCTGTCCTTAAAACTTATCCTGATACGTTAGTCTTTGTCTTTAAAAAGAAATAATCCTGGGATTTTCGGTATGGTATGCTTTGC